CAGTGGCATCTCGTGGCATGCGCTGAGATTGTTTCAGAGAACGTCCATGTAACCCTGATAACCAGCTGGTGTAGGCAGTTCTCAAAAAGGTGGTAAATCTTGAGTTGATTTCTGAGATATTAATGCGCAGCACTAGCTCTACCCTTTTTAGATACCAGCTAGGGTTAAAGAGAACCTTTTATTGGCCCACATATTTAATTAGGTAAGGACCTGTGTTGAAGATGGAAGGAGTTAGATTAATGGGAGGCAGAGTTGGTACAATTTCAAACATCTGTGGGGGCAGAGACTTCTTACCCTTTGCAGTTGACATAGATGTTGCTGTAACGATCATAAATTCAAATAGTAATTTGGTGTCTCTGTAACCCCAAAGATGGTACATGATTATAGGTTTGGTGAAAGTAAAATTGTGCCAACAGTCGGAATTTGGTTCAGTTATTTTGTTACAATCAGTACTATAATTTTTGGGTCTGGAAGAATCAGCATAAATTGTCTTAATTTCAGTCGGCCTATTGTAAGTAGACCCATTAGTTATTCGGCAACTGATTTGTATTGTCTGGCCTGAAGTGGCTTGGAGATCAGCCATCCAAAGAGAATCATTACAACTCCATTCATCTTTTGAAAATATTTTGTTTACATGTAAAACTGAAGTAGTGAGATTTAGGTCCTTTTTGTTTTGAGATGTTCCAACACTTGCACTATACTGTGACAATGCATGGTTCCAAGGGTCATTATGAGATGTCACAGTGTCACAGTGAGATGTCTCAGCTCCATGCACAACCACAGTAACTAAGTTTTCCCTGACGGCACGTGTTCCCATAATTCCAGCGTATTTAACATGGGCTTGGGACCATGGCCATTCTGGGTCTTTCTGGCTACAAACCAAATGGGTTTGCATTAAGGTCAGGGTGAAGCATAGTTTTAGCAATCCAAACTGCTGATTTGTGATTCTCCAGCTGTCCACATGCAGTTCACTCAGGATTCCTGTGAACACAAAAGGAAATAAAATATGCTTGGTTGTATTCAACCAGCAGGATTAAAAAGAGGGTGAGACCCACTGCGTGCTAATCCGGTGTACATTTCCTGAACAATCTTTGGCTTCCCATGCATAGGGGTTTAGTTGAGCAGTGTTCTCTGAGTGTTTTCCATTGTGTCTCTTACACTTTCCTGACTTTTTCCCTCTATCAGGATGTGAAACAGGAATCTCTGCTAAGATTTTTGCAAAAGCATTGTGAGCAATTGTGGGGGAATGTTTATATCCTTGAAGAAGCCTATTATAGTATAATAGTATAATCCAAGTATATTGGATTCCTTTCCATGTGAAAGCAAACTGTGCTTTATCCTGTTCAAGAAGAATCATTAAGAACATATCTTTAACATCTAAGGCACCCATCCAAGGATGGGCAGTGACTTGTATCAATGTCACTATTTCTGCCATGTTCAGAACTGTGGCAGTTAAAGGTGTGGTATTAGCATTTAACTGTAATCTACTATAAAATGCCATTGCCTTGTTGGTTTCTTTACTGGCCACACTAGTGAATTGTAGGGTGAATAGGTCCTTTTAATAATGCCTCTTTCTTCCAATTCTGTTACCACCCTGTCAATTCCCATAAGCGGGTAGACTTTGGAATGGAGTTGTGTTTTGATATTATAAGTTAATTTCCAAGTCACCTCAGGCAATTATTCCACACAGTTAACTGCATCAGAGGCTGAAGTGAGCCTAACTAGGAATGAGTGGCACAAGCACCCCATTGTGACTGGCCCAGAAGCTCTGTGCATCCTTGGCATAGACTACCTCAAGAGAGGGTACTTCAAGGGTCCAAAAGGGTACTGATGGGCTTTTGGCATAGCTTCCTTGAGCACAAAGATTAAGCAGCTTTCTGCCGTGCCTGGTCTCTCAGAAGACCCTTCTGCTGTAGGATTGCTGAGGGTTGAAGAACAGCAAGTGCAAATTGCTACAATGGTGCACTGGTGGCAATATCGTACCAACAGAGACTCCCTGATTCCTATTCATGAGTTGGTTCATTGTCTGGAGAGCCAAGGAGTGATCAGCAAGACTTGCTCGCTCTTTAATTGTCCCATATGGCCAGAGTGAAAGTCTAACTGGAGAGTGGAGACTAATGGAGACTATCATGACCTGAATGAAGTCACGCCACCGCTGAGTGCTGCAGTGCCGGACATGCTAGAACTTCAATACGAACTAGAGTCAAAGGCAGCCAAGTGGTATGCCACAACTGATATTGCTAATGCATTTTTCTCCATCATTTTAGCAATAGAGTGTAGGCCGCAGTTTGCTTTCACTTGGAGGGGCGTCCAGTATACCTGGAATCGACTGCCCTGGGGCTAGAATCATGGCCCTACCATTTGACATGGACTGATCCAGACTGGAACAGGTGAAAGCTCCTGAACACCTGAAATATATTAATGACATGATTGTGTGGGGCAACATGGCAGAAATTTTTGAGAAAGGGAAGAAAATAATCCAAGTCTCCTGAAAGTTGATTTTGCCATTAAACAGAGTAAGGTCAAAGGACCTGCACAGGAGATACAGTTTTTAGGAATAAAATGGCAAGACTGAAGTTGTCAGATTCCAATGGATGTGATAAAAAAAATAACAGCTATGTCTCTGCAAAGTTTCAAAATGGAAACACAAGCTTTCTTGTCACCCCAACTGCTGGTGCTGTGCAGGACTCTCTACACATCACGCAACTGATGCTATGTGAAGTAAGGGTGTTATATCTATCACACAACAGGCTCAAATAGGAAATCTCAGTCGCCCAGGAATCTTGGAAGTGATCATGGACTGTCCCAAGGTCAGGGACTTTGGAATATCGCTAGAGAAGGAGGTGACGTGTGCTGAAGAGGCCTCACTGTATAGTAAACTAGCAGAAGATAAGAAGCAATATGCTCTGTTCACTGATGGGTCCTGTCATATTGTGGGAAAGCATCATTGGTGGTAGGTTGCTGTCTGGAGTCCTACACAAGTTGCAGAAACTGCTGAAGGAGAAGGTGAACTGAGCCAATATGCATAAGTGAAGGCCATCCAGTTGGCTATAGATATTGCTGAATGGGAAAAGTGGCCAGTGCTCCCTCTCTATACTGATTCATGGATGGCAGCAAATGCCCTGTGGGGGTGGTCACAGCAATGGAAGCAGAGCAACTGACAATGCAGAGACAAACCCATCTGCGCTGCCACATTGTGGCAAGATATTGCTGCCTGGGTAGAGAACCTGTTTTGTAAAAGTATGCCACATAGATGCTCACGTACCCAAGAGTCCGGCCACTGAAGACCATCAAAATAACCAGCAGGTCGATCAGACTGCTAGTACTGAAGTGGCTCAGGTGGATCTGGACTGGCAACATAAGTGTGAGTTCTTTATTATTTTATTTTATTTAACCGTGAATGTGAAACATGCTGCAATCAAGCAAGTCAAGAGATTAAAGCCACTTTGGTTTGGAGGACAATGGCTGAAATATGGGAAGGCATGGCAGATTTATTATATCACACTCCCACAAACCCGCAACGGCAAGCGCCATGTGCTTACAATGGTGGAGGCAACCACTGGATGGCTGGAAACATATCCTGTGCCCCATGCCATTGCCCACAACACTATCCTGGGCTTTGAAAAACAAGTCTTATGGCAACACAGCACCCCAGGAAGAATTGAGTCAGACAATGGGACTCATGTCCAAAACAACCTCATAGACACTTGGACTAAAGAACATTGTACTGTGGGTGTATCACATCCCCTATCATGCACCAGCCTCTGGGAAAATCGAGTGCTATAATGGACTGTTAAAGACTATGCTGAGAGCCATGGGTGTTGAAACATTCAAACATTGGGATACACATTTGGCAAAGGCCACCTGGTTAGTCAACACTGCCAACCAACCCGGACCTGCCCAGTGAAACCTGTTACATACTGTAAAAGGGGATAAAGTCCCTGTAGTGCATGTAAAGAACACGTTGGTGAAGGCAGTCTGTGAATTTTGATGGAACCAAGCAAATTGCAGTGGTGATAGAACTGGACAAGCGCAACAGTATTGGAACCAGAGCTGGCCTCTGCATGGAACAATCCAACACCATTCATCATCTCTCCTGCCCTGATGGACTGCTATGACAGATGGAACCCAAAGTCATGGACTAAACAAATTCAACGGACATTTTAGAGGGATGACCCATACACCAAAGGAATATCTGTGTGTATATATCAGAAGACAGGAAAGTTTGTGGTGATTAATTGGGATGTACTGGAAAGTTTGAGACCCAAGCCTGACATAAATCATATGCAATAAAGGGTGGGTATTATCCTGGTTTTGGTTAGGATAGAGTTGATTTTCTTTATAGTGGCTGGTATGTTGCTGTGTTTTTTATTTAGGAGAAAATTCATGCTGAGAACACACTGATGTTTTAGTTGTTGCAGAGAAGTGCTTACACTAAACCAAAGACTTTTCAGCTTCTCATACTGCCCTGCCAGCGAGGAGGCTGGGGGTGCACAAAAAGCTGGGAGTAGACAGAACCAGGACAGCTGACCCAAACTGGCAAAAGGGATATTCCATACCATATGACATCAAGTGGAATGATAACAACTGGAAGAATAAAACTAGGGGGATGTGGCTGGGGTTGGAGGGGGAGCTACTGTTGTTCAGGGACTTGCTGGGCACCATTGGCCTGTGGTGAGCTATTGCATTGTGCATCACTTCTTTTATTTATATATATATATTATTATTATTATTTAATTTACTATTTTTTCCTGTCTTATTAAATTGTCTGTCTCAACCCTTTTTTTCGATTCTCTACCCCATCCCACTGGCAGGGAGTGAGCGAAGTGCTCTGTGGTGCTCAGTTGCCTGTTGTGTTAAACCACAACATCAGGTTATAGAAATAACCAATTGTGAGGTAAAAACACTAAATGTATTTATTATTTATACTCAAACATAACAGCAGAAATGGAGAGGATTAATTTGTTCTTAGACTCATCTTTTTATATTCTTTTAAACAGATTGACCTGGAGAGCATATTTTCACTTAATCCAGATCTTGCACCTGATGATGATACTGAACCTAGTCCAGAGACACCACCACCACCTATTCCATTAGCCAAAGTAAATAGAATTGTGAAGGTTGGTAGTACCTATGTAACACGTTCATATTAAACTTACATGACTTCTGTAATTTTGTTATATTTTAATTTTTAAATCTAATTTTTGTTTGTGGAGCTACTTGATAAATGTGTTCCCCATTCACCATAGGTAAAAAAGGATTTCTAAAAATTTTCTATGAACAGGTTTGGCAAGGAGGGAGTTGGGGACTAATATTAATATAACAAGGTATAGTTCAAGGAAAAATATACAAAAGAAGGTTGATTTGAAAAAGTACATATAGCAGTCTCCATCCAAGACTCTTCAAGGAGGGATTTGGAAATAATTACCTCTCTGTATTGCTGATGTTGTGTTAGAAACAGAGGTGGGGCTGCAGTTTACATTTTCAATAATAAGGTGATCAAATAATGGAGATTTCTTTCTTTATAGAGTCGACGAGCTGTGGCACCTATTAAGAATGATACCTCTGCTAGAGATAACAGAGGTAAATGTTATATCTTTCCATTTCAAGGAAGCAAATATATGGGAACATTTTAACCTCCTGCTCATCTAAAATTCTTTAAAAAAACTGCATTTCTAATTCAGTATGTACGCATGTGACGTAGAACATCATTCCTAGAATTGATGTAGGTACATCATTCCTAGAATTACTTCTATGTGTATTTAGGAATAGGTACTGTATAAATATTATTTATGTGTAAGTTTAAGCAATATAGCATTAGGAAATTTGTGAATTTGTGAATGAACTAAAGGAACAAAAATTTGAAGTTAATTATCCTACAATAAATGATGCGTGGACTTTTTCAAATTAAAACATCCTCAGTTTGCTTTAGCTTGAGTGTTTCAATATACTATAAGTAGTGCACTTAGAATTCTTACTCTTCCAATTTTTAAGCTTAATTTTCTAACAGTCTGTGTATAAACATTAATTGAAAGAACATTTAAACCCTACACATTATTTCCCTACAGAAAAATCTATTAAAAATGTGGAATTATCACAGGTGGATAGGTGAAATGAACTATGTGTTAGATGACTACAGATGTAATGCATCTATAATATGAGAAGAAATAGTTATTGCTTAATGTTCTCATTTTGTCTCCTGTACTGAGCATAATTATCTTGTATTGGTGATGGCAATGATTCTTTCAGACATTAATCTAGTGCCATTTGTGGTGGTTTTACTCAGGTGGGCAGACGAGTAAAAAAGATTCGTTTAAAAAAAAAGATTTTATTGATGAGCTGTCCTCACATCTATACAAGTTTTTAGAGGCCTAACCTCAAGTACTGTGTGCAGTTTTAGGTGCCACGGTATAAGAAAGACAAAACTATTAGAGAGTGTCCAAAAGAGGACTACAAAGATGGTGAAGGGTGTAGAGGGGAAGATGTATGAGAAACAGCTGAAGTCACTTGGTTTGTTCAGGTTAGAGAAAAGGAAACTGAGGGAAGACCTCATCGTGATCTACAGCTTCCTCACAAGGGGAAGCGGTGGGGCAGGCACGAGGAGGGAGCGACAGGACCCAGTGGAATGGCATGAAGCTGTGACAGGGGAGGTTCAGGCTGGATGTTAGGAAAAGGGTCTTCACTGAGAGGGTGGTTGGGCACTGGAACAGACTCCCCAGGGCAGTGGTCATGTCACCAAGCCTGTCGGAATTCAAGAAGTGTTTGGACAACACTTGTCAGGCATATGGTATGATTTTTAGGTGGTCCTGTGTGGAGTCAGGAGTTGGACTCTATAATCCTTGTGGGTCCCTTCTAACTCGGGATATTCTATCATTCTATGTCATTTGTAGTAAATGATCCGTTTCGTATGGATTAACCTTGTAACTTGCTTTTTAATAGGTACTATGCATCTTACTGTTCACAGCCTACCTAAGGATTAGTTCTTTGTTCATCTTGCAATTAAGCTTTTCTCAGCATACGGTCTTGTTTAGTGGAGTTAATTCATGCTGTAAAGTAGATCTCCTATGATGTTTGGGACTTTGTCTTGTCTATCCCATTTGATACCTGTTTCCATAGTTGTCTCCATGTTGTACATTGTACTGGCTTTTGGAATGTCATCTCTAAGCTATTAATCAAAGCTGTTACCTTCACTTTCATGCTTTTCTGTCAGACCTCGTTAGTAGCACGTACAAGAAACTGGCCAGCTGAAGCAGAGGTGCTTGAAGCAACTCTTTGAAAAAACAGCTTAAAATATTCAGCTCTATCAGAGAGGCTTGCATGCTCACTACTCCCGCTGAGTTCACTGGGAACAGATATCACTCTGCATTTTTTGAAATTAGCATCCTTATCACATAGGGAATCCATGCATAAATTTAGGTAGACATGTCAATTGTATCCATATCCCTTTTAATATGGTGTCAAAAAGGTTTGATTTTTCACTTGTAGATTGAGCTGCACTTGGCTGCCTTTCATTTCTATCCCTCTATTCCTCCAGATATTGTAGGCCTCCAGATATTTTATTGTGTGGGACAATTTTCTAATTTCTAGAGACTGTGAAACAGCAGGGTCATTTTCTTGCTGTGTTTTTGGGCATAATCACAATATAAATAAAATTGCAGCACTTACGGACAGCATATCTCCAAGTACACACTATGTATATAATAAGTTGTACTAATTCTGTAGTAGAGAATTTAAAAATATGCTTGGGCAGCATTGGTATTTCATGTTGTGTTGGTATATAACACTAGGATAAAAAAAGGCTGCATACCAAATGTCTTTAATGACATTTGACTTTCCATCTATATGACAAATAACTTTCCATATATATATTTTCATATATATGGTCCCCCCTGGCCCCACAAAATTGTTGTGTCTCAAAATGGTCCTTGTTTTATCTTGTCATACTAAAACACTTCAAAACTGGATAGAAATGTTATTTCTAGATCAGCTTTGTGCTTTTCGTCTGCAGTGGTTGGTTCTGCACGAGCACGGCCCACTAGGCTTCCAGAACAGTCTTCCTCCTCACAACAGAATGGTAGTGTTCCAGATATATCTCCAGTTCAAGCTGCAAAAAAGGACTTTGGACCCCCTTGTATGTAAACCATGTGTCAAAGATTCTTTCATTCTTGGCATTACATGTACATTCTCTTGGATTATGTTGTTTTCCATAAATGACAAATGGTCTATATACACAATTGTCTGTAGGCTTCCTTACAAAGCTTTTTCAGAGCACTGGGGCACTAGTATTTATAATTCTTTTTTCCTTTATATTTTTTTAAACCATGAATGTGGTTTGTTTTAAATTGCTTGGGCTTTCTTTTAAAACAAACCAAGAGTTCACATGTATCTGTTCAAGTGTTTTTAAGGGTCACTGTCCTTATATTTTTGGTTGTGTAATTATTGTCCCATTCCCATAATTTAATTCATTTACTCTATAAATTTTAGAAATTAAATTGCAGTAATTATTTTGTACTAATACTGATTTGCTTGGATATATAATTGATATAAATGCATTCTAATTATTGATAAATTAATATAATTGAAGTGTAGTGTAAATACTAAATCCATGCATGTAACACAGAAAATATTTTAAATTATATAATTTTCTCTAAGCACGTAGAAAATCTAATTGTGTAAAAGAAGTTGAAAAATTGCAAGAGAAACGTGAAAAAAGAAGATTACAACAGCAGGAACTTAGAGAAAAAAGAGCTCAGGTCAGTATTTTGTGCTTAGATGGCACTTTTTTCATTCTTAAATACTTTTTATGAACTGATAAACTTCAAAATAAATATTTTCATCCTGCATATAAGTTTGACAAATATTTTTGGTGCATAGTTGCACTCTGCATAGTTGCACTCTGATAACCATTAGATGTTTTTCCCCCTCTTTTGCTCTCTACAGAAATAATTACTTATTTTTCCATGTGTTATTTCAAAATCAAGTGCTGCTGATGGCTATTTCTCAGTGAAAACATATTGATTTAAAAATAATCAAGCCTTTGGCTTTTAGATAGGGCTTTTATTCTACAGGAGATATTTCAACGTTATAAATTGTTCTTTATGATCTTCGATGTTTTGTAGGAGATATATTTGAGGTTAAAAAAAAAACACTGTTCAAACTTGAAATTTGTTATGAATTTATAGTTTAGCTTTGCATCATGCAGGCAGCTTGGCAGTGAGTTGTTGGAAACTTTTGTGAAAGAAATGAAGCTGCTAATCCTGTGAGAAAAATATCTGAAAAATATCTCTTGATATTAAATTAGTTTCTGTCACAAAAAGCTTTAGCACAACTAGTAGTATGATCTTGTTGGCAAGCTTGCCTGTATGTGTTAGTATCTTTAAAGAGATGCTGCCAATGCACAACTGACTTGAGAAGTACCACCACTAAGTAATTCAGCCAATTTACTTCATGCTTTAATGATGTTTCTAAACTCACCTAAAATGACCTATGTTGAATTCATGTTCTCAAAATTAAACAAATGCAAAACATTAATATGTCTTTAAGTGTGAGGGGAAAAAAATGGTTTATATATTAAAAATTCTTTGATGTAGTACTATACCTAAAGTTTTCTCTTCAGCACTTCTGTGAAGACTTCCTTTTCACCTGAGTCTTAAACTTCTGCATGAGAAGGTTCTGGTTGTCTTGATGACCTCTACCAGTGCTTTGTGTAGTCTGTTGTGAAATCCAGCAATAATTAGGCAACTGTCTTCTAGTGGACAAAACCTTTAAATAGAGAAGAACATTAGGGAAATACTTTTTCCATAATAAGCAGCTCAATTTTAGAGGTAACATTTCATCAGTAATTCATTTTGTATGGACTTACTGTAAGTAGTTTTAATTTCACTGTAGTTAGGATTAAGAACTTGAAGGTGCAGTCAAATACTGATTAGCAGGGTGCAGTGTTTTTACCCTGCTGGGCAGCTGAATTCCACCACAACCACTCTCATACTCCCCCTTCTCAAAGGGAAAGGGGGAGAAAATATGATGAAAAGGGCTCAAAGGTTGAGAGAAGGACAGGGATATCACCCACCAATTATCATCATGGGCAAAACAGACTCGGCATAGGGAGATTAATGTAATTTATTGCCTATCACTAGCTGACTAGAACACTGAGAAACTAAAAGCAAACTTAAAAAAAAACAACACACAACCATCCATCCTCTTCTACGTCCTCCCCCCAAGCAGCTCAGGGGAACGGGCAATGGGGATTATGGTCAGTCCATAACACTTTATCTGAGACCCTTCTTCATGGTCACTCTCTTCCCCTGCTCCAATGTGGGGGTCCCTCCCATGGGATGCAGCCCTTCCTGAACTGATCCTACATGGGCTTCCCATGGGCAGCAGCTCTTCAAGAACTGCTCCAAATATGTGTCTGTACCACAGGGACCAACTTTTAGGAACAAACTGCTCCAACATGGGTCCCCCACAGGCAGTAGTTCCCAACAGCTCACCTACTCCTTCATGGGCTCCTCTCCACAGGCTGGAGCCTGCTCCTGCAGGGGGTCTCTATGGGCTACAGCCTCCTTCAGGCCAGATCCACCTGCTCCACCATGGTTGCAACATGGAAGTCTGCTCTGCCATGGTACACCACGGGCTGCAGGGGGAACAAACTGCTCCACGGGCCACAGAGGTACCTGGAGCACCTCCTCCCCCTACTTTCTGTGCTGACCTTGGTGTCTGCAGGGCTGTTTCTCACTCCTCACTCTCCCAGCTGCTGTTGCATTGCATTTTTTTTTTTCCCTTTTTAAAATATGCTCTCACAGAGGCTCTCACAAACACCGTTGTCCATTGGCTCGGGTTGTCCTGAAATGGTGTAAAAATTCTCAGGAAAGACATTTGAGTTATTCTGCAGTTTGCCCAGTTCTGGCTTAGCAAGGCTTAGGGAGGCTCCATGCGTGAGCTCTTACATCTCTTTTCACCAAGGTACTTGTGGTTTCAGATTTACGGACGGGAGGGCTTGTGAGCTTGGATGTAGCATATTTGGATTGCTTCTGCTTTTAGGGGCATCTGGGAGTACTAGAAAAGTTTCCAATGGATTCAAGTCACCATAGGAGTTAACTTAGGACCAGTAGTAGGATCAGCCTCCTTTAACCAATTCAAATCCCTTTAGAGCAGCTGGAGTACCTGCACTGTGCTCTCCAGCATTTTGTATCTGTATAATAGTCTATCCATTTGTTTGTTGGACTGCCTTATGTCAGATTAAGAAGCATTGACTGTAATGTATTGTCCTGGTTTTGGCTAGGATAGAGTTAATTTTCCTCCTAGTAGCTGGTAGGGTGCTGCGTTTGGCATTTAGGATGAGAATGTTGATATCACGCTGATGTTTTAACTGTTGCAGAGCAGTGCTTACACTAAGCCAAGGACTTTTCAGCTTCTCACCCTGTCCTGCCAGAGGGCAGGCTGGGGGTGCAGCAGGAGCTGGGAGGGGACAGAACCAGGAGAGCTGACCCAAAATGGCCAAGGGGGTACTCCATACCATCTGACGTCATACTGAACAATTAATATGGGATGGCTGGCTGGGGTGGGGGGAGCAGCTGCTCAGGGATAGGCTGGGCATCAGTCAGCAGGTGCTGAGCAATTGCATTGTGCATCACTTCTTTTGTACACATTATTATTAGTAGTACTATTATCATTATTAAGTAGTACTATTATCATTATTATTATTTTCCTTTATTTTCTGACCTAATAAACTGTCTTTCTCTCAACCCACAGGCTTTCATTTCTTTCTGATTCTCTTTCCCCATCCCAGAGAGGGAAGGGGGAGGGGGAGCGAAGGGCTGTGCGGTGCTTAGCTGCCAGCCGAGTTAAACCAAAACATGCACTGTTGTTGTGCATTTGTTTGGTAGTGCTTCTTTTGTGTGAAGATTCTGACAAAAGGTGGGAGTCATTTCTCTTCCTTACAAGTAGATGTGTAGTGAGTCCTTGTGGTGGTTTTGCTCGGGTGGACAGCCGTGTTCCACCATGGCCACTCTCTCACTTTCCCTCCTCAAAGTGGAAGGGGGAGAAAACACAATGCAAAGGGCTCAAGGGTTGAGATAAGGATGGGAAGATCGCTCAACCATTCTTGTGATGGGCAAAACAGACTCAAAGTAGGGAGATAGTAAGATTTATTGCCTATTAATAACAAGCTAGAGAAGTGAGAAACAAAGGAAAGAAACCAAAAACACCTTCCCCCCATCCACCCTCTTCCACTTCCTCCCCCCAAGTGGCGCAGGGGAACAGGGGAATGGGGGTTGTAGTCAATCTATAGCACTTCATCTCCGCTGCTCCTTCTTGGTCACTCTCTTCCCCTGCTCCAACGTGGGGACCCTCCCACGGGACACACTCCTTCCTGAACTGATCCTGCATGGGCTTCCCAAAGGCAGCGGCTCTTCAAGAACTGCTCCAGATATGGGTCTGTACCAAGGGGTCCATCTGTCTGGAGCACACTGCTCCAGTCCAGGTACTCCACAGGCAGCAGCTCCTGCCAGGTTACCTGCTCCTGCGTGGTCTCCTCTCCATGGGCTACAGGTCTGGCTAAAGGTCTGGCCTGGAATCTGCTCCAGCAGGGGTCCTCCACAGGCCACAGCCTCCTTCAGTGCAGGCTGCACAGGCTGCAGCTTGGAACCCTGCTCCACCTTGGTACACCATAGGCTGCAGGGGGACAACCTGTTCCACCATGGTCCTCACCACAGGCTGCAAGGGAACTTCTGCTCCGGCGCTTGGAGCACCTCTCCCCCTCCTTCTTCACTGACCTTGGCACTTGCAAGGCTGTTTCTCACTCCTCTCTCTCTCCCAGCTGCTGTTCCCCAGCAGTTTTTTTTTCCTTGTCTTAAATATGCTCTCACAGAGGCACGAACATCGCTTATTGGCCTGGCTCTGGCCAGCGACGGGGCCCTTATCTAACATGGTGCAGCTTCTGGATTCTTCTCACAGAAGCCAGCCCTATGGCGCCCCCGTTACCTAAACCTTGCCACGTAAACCCACTACAGTCCTGAATTCAAAATTATTTTCTATTATATGGCAACCAAAAATTTTAAAGTTATATAATTGCTTTCATTTATGATCAGTAGATTACCTTCATCAGAACATCAGTTAATGTATATTTTATTTTTCTTTTAAGTAAATTTAGAAGGCATTGAAATTAGTCCATTTCATGTAAAAATGTAAGAAATTTTGTTGTTTACCTCCCTAGGATGTTGATGCTACAAACCCAAATTATGAAATTATGTGTATGATAAGAGATTTCAGGGGAAGTTTGGATTATAGACCACTGACAACTGCTGATCCTGTAAGTACCCCAGGCTATGTGGAAATTCTGTGTCTGTATGTTTTTCTGTGTTTTTTTTTTTTTTTTTCAGTGTATGAATATACTTCTGCCTGTAAACATAAAAAATAAGTAACTTAGTGTATATTAGTATTCTTTATAGCATGGGTTTATTTTTTCAGAATCCTTAAGTGATGTTATCAGACCATTTCAATGGTGTATCCACCCTGTTACAGCTTGGTTTGCTTACTGTGTTGCAAGATGTACCATGTACTCTACAGGATCAGATCATTATCTACAGGGAATTTGGTTATTCTTAATGTATGGTTCTCCCTTTCAGTTTCTTGGTTATTGTGCAAACATGGTGGGCTTTTGTACATTCAGATGACTCCTGAATTGGAAATTTCTTAATTTAAATGATTAGTTAATTAATTAAAAAACAGAGGTAAAATATCCTGCAACTGGAACTGAGGTATAGTTCACTGAAAGATTCTTTCTTTTATAGATTGATGAGCACAGGATATGTGTTTGTGTACGAAAACGACCACTCAATAAAAAAGGTATGACTGCTTAAGATTTTCCAGAATTCTTTCTCTGAAAAGCTGCTTCTGATAGCAATATTATTTGTATTGACGAGGTCTAGAATTACTAATCAATGATGAAACTCTGTTATACTAGACAATATGTATGAGGGACACATATAATTCATAGATTTATCATAACCTGGATGAAGACAGGGAGAAAAGTAGTTTAACTGTCACTATTAGGATCATCATTCATTTAAACTGTCTTTTAAGTAAACTCCTGATCGGTGAGCTACCCAATGAAAGCTTTTCTACACATTTTTTTATACATGTATTTTTTTATATATTTTCAAGCGGTCTTGAATCAGATGTTAAGGGAAAAGTTCAGGTGGTGCCTAAATGTTGTTGTCCTGTGAGATGTTAGGTACCCAAGGGTATTCAAGACATCCTATGGCTAGTGGATTACAGACAAACTGGAGACTTGCATCTCCTGGAACTGCAGCTCAGGACTGGGCTAAATACCCTAGAGCATATGAAATGGCACTAAACACCTCTTTTTAGGTACTGGAATATGTTGTAGATGTTGTAGAACTCGAGGCTGGGAATGACAAGGTCGAGTCCCTTTGGGTTAGGATCGGCAGGGACAACAAGGCTAGCGTCCTGGTCGGGGTCTGTTATAGACCGCCGAACCAGGATGAGGAGACGGATGAGGAGTTCTACAGGCAGCTGACAGAAGTTGCGAAATCTTCAGCGCTTGTTCTCGTGGGGGGCTTCAGCTTCCCTGACATATCCTGGAAGCACAACACAGCCCAGAGAAAGTAGTCTAGGAGGTTTCTGGAGAGCGTGGAAGATAGCTTCCTGATGCAGCTGGTTAGTGAGCCTACCAGGGGAGGCGCCCCGCTAGACCTTCTCTTCACAAACAGAGAAAGACTGGTGGAGGATGTGGTGGTCGGAAACTATCTTGGGCAGAGTGACCATGAAATGGTGGAGTTCTCTATTCTTGGCGAGGCCAGGAAGGGGACCAGTAAAACTGCTGTATTGAACTTCCGGAGGGCTGACTTTGTGCTGCTGAGGACACTGGTTGGTAGAGTCCCTTGGGAGGCAGTTCTGAAGGGCAGAGGAGTCCAGGAAGGCTGGGCGCTCTTCAAGAGGGAAATCTTAATGGCGCAGGAGCGGTCCGTCCCCACGTGCCCAAAGACGAGCTGGCGGGGAAGAAGACCGGCATGGCTCAACAGAGAATTGTGGCTGGAGATAAGGAGAAAAAAGAGGGTTTATAATCTTTGGAAAAGTGGGCAGGCCACTAGGGAGGACTATAAGGATGTTGCGAGGCTGTGCAGGGACAAAATTAGGAAGGCCAAAGCTCATCTGGAGCTCAATCTGGCTACTGCCATTAAAGATAACAAAAAATGTTTTTATAAATACATCAACACAAAAAGGAGGACTAAGGAGAATCTCCATCCTTTACTGGATGCGGGGGGAAACTTAGTTACAAGAGATGAGGAAAAGGCGGAGGTGCTTAATGCCTTCTTTGCCTCAGTCTTTAGCGGCAATACCGGTTGTTCTCTGGATACCCAGTACCCTGAGCTGGCGGAAGGGGATGGGGAGCAGGAGGTGGCCCTCACTATCCACGAAGAACTGTTTGGCGACCTGCTACGGCACTTGGATGTGCACAAGTCAATGGGGCCGGATGGGATCCACCCAAGGGTACTGAGAGAACTGGCAGAGGAGCAGGCCAAGACACTATCCATCATTTATCAGCAGTCCTGGCTATCGGGGGAGGTCCCAGTTGACTGGCGGCTAGCAAACGTGACGCCCATTTACAAGAAGGGCCGGAGGGCAGACCCGGGAAACTACAGGCCGGTCAGTTTGACCTCAGTACCAGGGAAGCTCATGGAGCAGATGCTCTTGAGAGTCATCACGCAGCACTTGCAGGGCAAGCAGGCGATCAGGCCCAGTCATCATGGGTTTATGTAAGGCAGGTCCTTCTTGACGAACCTGATCTCCTTCTATGACAAAGTGACACGCTGGGTGGACGAGGGAAAGGCTGTGGATGTGGTCTACCTTGACTTCAGCAAGGCTTTTGACACCGTCTCCCACAGCATTCTCCTCAAGAAACTGGCTTGGACTGGCGCACGCTTCATTGGGTTGGAAACTGGCTGGATAGCCGGGCCCAAAGAGTCGTGGTAAATGGAGTCAAGTCCAGTTGGAGGCCGGTCACTAGTGGCGTTCCCCAGGGCTCGGTGCTGGGGCCGGTCCTCTTTAATATCTTCATCAATGATCTGGACGAGGGCATTGAGTGCACCCTAAGCAAGTTTGCAGATGACACCAATCTAGGTGCGTGTGTCGATCTGCTCAAGGGTAGGAAGGCTCTGCAGGAGGATCTGGATAGGCTGGACCGATGGGCTGAGGTCAACTGCATGAAGTTCAACAAGGCCAAGTGCAGGGTCCTGCACCTGGGGCGCAATAACCCCAGGCAGAGCTACAGACTGTGAGAGGAGTGGTTGGAGAGCTGCCAGGCAGAGAAGGACCTGGGAGTGATGGTTGATAGTCGGCTGAATATGAGCCAGCAGTGTGCTCAGGTGGCCAAGAAGGCCAACAGCATCCTGGCTTGTATCAGAAACAGTGTGACCAGCAGGGCTAGGGAGGTGATCGTCCCCCTGTACTCGGCTCTGGTGAGGCCGCACCTCGAGTACTGTGTTCACTTTTGGGCCCCTCGCTACAAGAAGGACATGGAGGTGCTTGAGTGGGTCCAGAGAAGGGTGACGAAGCTGGTGAGGGGCCTGGAGAACAAGTCCTACGAGGAGCGGCTGAAGGAGCTGGGCTTGTTCAGCCTGGAGAAAAGGAGGCTCAGGGGCGACCTTATTGCTCTTTACAGATCCCTTAAAGGAGGCTGTAGAGAGGTGGGTGTTGGCCTGTTCTCCCACGTGCCTGGTGACAGGACGAGGGGGAATGGGCTAAAGTTGCGCCAGGGGCGTTTTAGGTTGGATGTTAGGAAGAACTTCTTTACCGAAAGGGTTGTTAGACATTGGAACAGGCTGCCCAGGGAAGTGGTGGAGTCACCATCCCTGGAAGTCTTTTTTTTTTTTCTGGAGCAAGCATATCCAGCGGGATACGGGAGAATTGTATAGGAAAGGGAAAACATATGTTGATGTCAGTATATTGTTAGGTTTCTTTTCTGTTACTTTGCTTTCCTTCCATGTTGCTGCTGCTTCTACATTATTTTTTACTTTTTTTTTTTTTTTAGTTTCCCGTATTTTTTCTTTTATTCATTTGAAAGGAATGCATAATCTCAAAAACTGGTTACCTGGAACTATTTTGCACAACTTGTGTAATAAGGTCATTCAACACACAAATCTGGTAGCAGTTCAATTTCTGTTTTAGCATTGGAAGTTATCTGTAATAAAATATGACTTAGAAATCTGATACATTTGGGGAAGAACATTACCTTCTACCTGCACAGAAGATGGACAAAGTGAAATTATAGTAAATGAGAGCAAGATGTCATTAAGCATAAGTTGGAATACAGAAGTGAGATATGATTCTATGCAAGTTGCATACCTTGGGTATTAGTGGTTAGGAGCTATTAAGAAAATATTTCTGAGGCGTTTGTAGGAAGATGAGCGTGTGAGTAAAAATGAGGTTGGCACTAAAATTATTTTTTATTTTTAAAAATAAGATATAATAAAAAGGTATTAATGAAATAATCTGTGCTGGGGAGGAACTGTGAAGATAATCCATTACCCCCACGATACAATTTTCTGAAAACGTACTTTATTTCTGAGACTTCATAAGAAGCAGTATGCCACATTTTAAAGTTGAAGAGTATGAAAGAATCAGAGATATTAGTATGTAACCCTCCGAAGGGGGGGGGAGGGGGTTGTTTCCTTTATTATTGCAATAATAACACATCAAAATGTTACCTTTCCTTCTTCATGTTCTGTATTTTGAAATTCTGTAAGGTGTTCAAATCGTTTAATAGAAATCAAGTGTAGAAATCAATTTCTGTCAGTCTCATGCACATGCAAAATCATCACCAAAGACTTCAGGTGTTCTCAGCACCAATCATTTTGTGGATTGACTTTGCAGGAAGTAGGGCTTCAGACTGATATTTTAAGATTTTATTTCAGTGGCATATATTTAGAATTGGGAAATGTATGGTGGGTTTCTGAAACACTACTCCAAATTTTCATCAGCAAGTAATACAGGTTGTAATAACAAATAGCTGGGAGTTATAACAAATAGCAGGTAAATGTCTTATTCCAAACAATTTTTTAAGAAATATCAGCTTTTGACTGCTTTAACTAAAAAGCTTTTTCTGTAAATAAGTTACTTTCTTTCATATATTCCTTTTCACCACTGTTCTTTATTTCTTCTCTGTGATTATTGCAGAATAATTGCATTTCATTTTATTGCAGTGCAGTTGAAATTTTGATTATATTGTGACTTGAATGCATACTGGTGTTAGTGTGTAACATCATACAATGGTAACCATTGTTCTGTTTGATCAGTATGTTAACTGATGAAAAGATTTCTGATTGTATAAAGGTACATCTAATTCTTGAACTGCATGGCTTAAGAAATTTTGCATATAAATTCAAGTAGGACACATTAGTGATCTTGACTGTACACACAAAGGATCTTTATTTTTGTGCATATCATGGATCTCCGGGTTCTCTGTATTTTGCTAACTCATATCTCCTACAAGTAGCTATAAATTGTAGTGCTGTTTAGTAATTATAACCTGGGAACTCTCAACTGAAATCACTTCTAGATGGCTTTTGTTCTTTCCCAGTGATAGGGAGCATCATTAGCATTTTCAACTTTTTCTGCTTACAAGATTATTTTAAGAAAGGATTTTACTCTATAGAAATTCTATATTAAAGACGTGCACATTAGATTCCAGAAGGAATATACAAATGGAAATCTCCATGTAGAATGAAAGCAGTATTTTCCTTTTTGGAAACTGTGATAGTATTATTATAACTTTAGGATTTAAGGAAAATAAAAAGATAAAATTTTAAAATAAAGAGAATTATTCTAAGGATGTTAATTTCTTTGTTTTTTAAGTTGGACAGTCCAAGTGGTAGTAGACTACAGCGTCCAGTTTCTCCAGTAGAGAAGTTATTTATAATAACTCACAGGATATGGCAGTAATCTATAAAAGAGTTCATAAGCCCCAGGAAAAGAAATCCATGGAAAGTGTAATTATAGAATACATAACAAGCTAAAATAAATGATCTTTGGTTTTCTAATCAACTTTGTAACATCTTTCTTTAATTTCTAGCTGTTGGTAGAATAGGATGATTAGACTTCCAAAATGAAATCTGTTACTTAGTAGATTATTAACTAGGTATCAGAAGCCCAAGTTCATTGCACTGTTGTTACTTGGAGGAGCTGTGTTATCTGAGATGTTATAGGAGTGTAAACAATGAAAAAAAAAAAAAAAGATGTGTGTCTAGATAAATATATATTTCACTTATTTTGTAGAAACTTTAACGAAAGACCTTGATGTAATAACAATTCCTAGTAAAGATGTTGTGATGGTACATGAGCCAAAACAAAAGGTGGATTTAACAAGGTACCTAGAAAACCAAACTTTTCGTTTTGATTATGCCTTTGATGACACGGCTCCTAATGAAATGGTTTACAGGTATGTGTATATGCTTTTTTTTTTTTTTGGAAAATCTTTTTTCTCATTTATCTCCCATGTCAGTAACTGTGGGCTTCCCTTGGTCGTAGACTTGACCCCTATTTTCTGTTTTCAGATATATATATTGCTACCTCCATTCTTTTGTCTGTATACTTATAGTTTAACTGTTTATCCTGAATTTTTAATCTGCAATGTCATCTCCATCTCTGTTGAACTCAGTCCTGCTCTCAGTCCTTCTCTAAGCCATGCCATGCCAGACTCATGTGTATTGCCTGCCTTCTCAGACTGAATATTTGGAAAACTATATTGCCACTCCATCTGCCACAGCATTATTTTCTTATTGATTAATATGTATGCAGCACATGGGGCATGCTTTTGGTCTTCAGGAAACTTGAATATCCAAATAGATTGCAGTTTGGATATAAAACAATTAACTGATGGAAATAAATCAAAAAAAGGTTGGAGAAAAGTACCAACAAACAAGAGCAACATTTTTCATATTGCTAAGATTCCTGAGCTAATTTGTCTGTTGCAAGAAATCTAGCTCATGTAACATGGACCTACATGGGAGCTAATTAATCTTGCTCAAAGTGCTGTAGCTTTCTGATTTTAAAAGTAACATCAACAAAGACACACAGCCCCAAGATATTTGGATCTCCTTTTTTTTCCTTTATTCTTTTATTTCCACGGTTAACACAGAATAATGCACACAGCACTTTGAAAAACTTATTCAGAAGTAACTGTCTTGTACCAGTCACTAAATGGATTAGATAAAATAGCAAGCAAGGTCAGACAGCATGGTAGGTCATAATTTTGGAATGCAGTGTAAATATAGTGAAACTTTTTGCAAGGAATATTGATATTAGAAAGGAATTTGATGAAAATAACTTTCCTTATGCTTTGAAAATGCTTCCCATAACCTTAAGGAGTAGTAAAAGAAATATTTTAATTCTTGTTTTTAATCCAAAAGCTAAGAAGTGAAAGTTGGCATTGTAGCCTGATTGATGCTGGATGCTAACGTGCTGTTGGTAGATAAGAGAAAATACAAAGTAAAAGATTTGTTAAAAGGCCTTGAAAATGAAAATTTGTGTCTTATGCTTGATATAATTAGAATGAGAGCAAAAGGCAAATCAGTTTAGTCATTGAATCACAGAATGGGTGGGAGTGAAAGGGACCTCTGAAGATCATCTAGTCCAACCCCCCTAGCAGGATCACCTAGAGCACGTTGCGCAGGATGGCATCCAGGCAGGTTTTGAATATCTCCAGAGAAGGAGACTCCACAACCTCTCTGGGCAATCTGTTCCAGTGCTCTGTCACCCTCACGGTAAAGAAGTGCCTTCTCCTATTCATCTGGAACCTCCTGTGCTTCAGTTTGTGCCCGTTGCCTCGTCCCGTCACTGGGCACAACTGAAAAGGCTCCATCCTCTTGACAGCCTCCCCTCAGATATTTATATACATTAATGAGGTCTCCCCTCAGTCTTTTCTTTTCCAGGCTAAACAGGCCCAGTTCTCTCAGCCTGTCCCTGAATGACAGGTGCTCCAGTCCTCTAATCATCTTCATAGCCCTCCTCTGGACTCGCTCCAGTAGTTCTATGTCCCTCTTGTTCTGGGGCACCCAGAACTGGACACAATACTCCAGACATGGCCTCACCAGGGCTGAGTAGAGGGGGAGGATCACCTCCCTTGACCTGCTGGCAACACTCTTCTGAATGCAGCCCAGGATATCGTTGGCCTCCTTGGCCACAAGGGCACGTTGCCGACTCATGGTCAGCCTGATGTCCACCAGGACTCCCAGGACTCTCTCTGCAGAGCTGCTCTCCAGCAGTCTGTTAGTTTAAGAGACTTTCATTAGCGTAAACTGCAGTAAAGATATGCCCTTGGAGATTTCTCTCTAATGTTTGTCTGTTGGCAGCATCTTTTCTTTCTTTATACAGAAGAGCTGTGGGAGAGCCATCTACCTGGTAATGTGTGCCTCTTGCAATAGATTTCCTCCTGCCTAACAACCAGTTCTTTAATCTCCATCCTTCCTGTTATTCCTCATTTATCTTTGTGAGCATATCATTTAATCGTGAAAGGTATTTTTGGCATACAACATTACCATATTTTTGTATTCATTTTCTTCTGGATGATTTTTATTAGTTACATAATAAATTAATGGTAATACAAGAAAATATTAAAAGATGATTGTATTCATACTGAAATAGTAAGTCTCTGGCCTATGTAGTAGTACAGGCTTTTTTTCCTCCCTCAGATGGTACAATATTGATTATTATTTGAAAGATAGTTTGTTTCAAGTTCTCCTTTAATAACAGAATTGAGAGCAAGAATAGGTATCATACTGGACTCTCTAGCGGGGAAAAAAATCAATTTTTCTTCAGTAAGATAAAATTACTTGCTATATTTCTATACAGAAATACATTTTTCAGTTTGTCTTGGAGAAATCTGCTATTCTTTTTTTTAGTATTTTTATTTTGCCTAAGTTGCTTTTTAAGTATTTTTGAGTCCTTGAACCACAAATCTGAGTTACAAGTTTTCTTTAATATTAAAAAAAAAAATCATGCTAGTTTGCATGGGTATGCATTTTGAATATTTAAAGGAGAAAAAGAGTTTAAATTTTTGGAAGATCAAGATTGCAAACAATGGTTGCAGTAGAAGGAAATTTAGACTGTTTCAGGCTTGGTACCATTTGGAGTTGTATAATGCTTTATGAAAAATTGTCTGGATAATATCTTTTAAAATAAGGCAAAATACAATCATAAGTCCCTTTTTTTATAAATCACAGTAAATTATTTCAAACTCAACTAAACAGAGATAATGGAGTATGCTTATTAGGTGGATAAGTTTCTTGAAATTTATATTTCAAATATAAAAAGAACAAACAGAAATATGGGAATATCATCTTGAGGACAAAAGTATATGCTTGGAGGAAATTAAAAAAAAAAAATACTAAGGCTGATCAGGAGTCATCTGGTGCATTTCTGATAAAAAAAAAAAAAAAAAAAAAAAGATTATTCTGTTACATTTTGAATAACCCTTGGCTGCTGAACAGGTTGTTTTTTACCCATATTGTTTTTGTAAATTTTGTGTTTGTTGCAAAGTGGAATGATAGGAGCTTGTAACATCTCAGTGTTTCTATAAGCAATCATTCCTTTTTCTGTCATTAAACATATTTTATGAGTAAACACCTGGAGGAAGTTTAGAAAGAGAGACTGTTGCAGAGACTCTTACCATCATTATTTAATAGAGATAACACTCCATTAGGTTACCCTTTGATTTTTGAGATTTTCATGAAGTAACGTTGATAAGCAGCTAGAAGTAGGAGCAATAACTCTATGTGTTTTTTTAAAGTAGAAGTTAATGCTTTAAAATAGAAAAATGATACTTTGGGAAAATATTTTTGACATATCAAATAATACCTCAGGGGTCACTAGATTCTTCTATTCTGATGAGTTTGGTTATGTTTTCTTTATCCTTTTCTTAGTGTATGTATGTTCTCAAGATATTAAGAAATGCAATGTTGTTTTGGCCACCTATCTTAGAAAATTAATCTTAAAAGCTGTTTTGAAAAGGAAAAAAAAAGAAAGAAAAAAAAAAAGTAGTATTGGCAAAACCTAAATATCTATTCTACTGTCCTAGTTCTGTATCTTCTAATGTGATGTCCTTTAGGTTCTTTAGGGAACTGCAGACTCCATGTAGTAAGCTGTGCTGTGTTGCATTATTAAAACAAGTTTTTTGTTTGTTTGTTTGTTTGTTTTTGTTGTTGTTGTTAAATAAATGGGAGACACCTTGTAGCTTTTGTTTAATTGTTTAGGATATTTTAATGCCTTAGAGCTGTGTTAGCCTCTTTGGTTCAGGAATTAATTTGGAGATGTTCTTTGACCTCTCAAAGTACAGAACCAGTTTTGTCACTTATGGCCACTACCACATGGACACTATACATTTTTAAGTATTTCAGCTTTTCCATACTGTGTTTTTGCATTTAAGGTTTACAGCTCGACCATTAGTGGAGACCATATTTGAAAAGGGAATGGCCACCTGTTTTGCATATGGGCAAACAGGAAGTGGAAAAACCCATGTAAGTATTTCTTCTACACGTCAACAATACACTTAATTAAATTTTAATAAGTAACAAATATGTAAGCTACAGATTTGTGATTTTTATTGTGTATTTTTTGTGTGTTTTTTTATTTTATTTTTTTTATTTAGACTATGGGTGGTGACTTTTCAGGAAAGAACCAAGACTGTTCAAAAGGAATATATGCACTTGCAGGTGAGACTTTATTGGTCTGTTGGCTTTTTACAAATTAATTGAGGTCGATACATTTTTGACTCCCTATTGTACAGACATAAGAGTCTACGTATTTTGCATTACAGTGGAGCTTTAGTAACATAAAAAGTAGTTTCTAGATGTGTAGTCTTTACATGGTAAAGTAAATGTATATATAGATTAATTTTAAAATGTAATAAAACTGATGATTGAGTTTATCATTTGGGGTCTTCTTCATCTTCCAACGGCAGTTTAAACTTCAGTGTTTTAGACTTCTTTGACTGACCATATCTGTTATACTTGCAAATTATGAGAGATGCTGTATAATGTACTATTAATATATTAACAGGTTTATGCTAACTAGATTTCTTTTTATTTTGGAAATATATTCACAGCTCGAGATGTCTTTTTAATGCTAAAGAAGCAAAACTATAAGAAGTTAGAACTTCAAGTGTATGCAACATTTTTTGAGATTTATAGTGGTAAGGTAAGTACCAGATCTTTTTCTGAGGAAGTGTTTTTTCACAAACAAGACTGTGATCTTGTTACATAGATTTTTTTTCCTTTTTTTGTACCAAAAGCTTTATTTCAAATAATTCTTTACACTTCTCTTCCAATCATATTTTTGCATGGGATGCTTTGCATATTTTGATATGGAATTTGAAACAAGTGTCTTTTAAAACTCCTCTTTAACTGTTCTGTTCCCCCCCACCCCCACCCTCCAAGGTTTTTGACTTGTTGAACAGGAAGACAAAATTAAGAGTGTTAGAAGATGGTAAACAGCAAGTCCAGGTGGTGGGATTACAGGAACGGGAAGTCAAATGTGTTGAAGATGTTCTTAAGTTTATTGAAATAGGCAACAGCTGCAGGTATCTCCCATAGCTTCTACAAGCTTTTCATTGTAAATTAAAGAATCATAACATCTCTTGAGTTTTTTTTTGTCTCTTCATATCGATGGCTTTTTATTATGCAGTGTGCTTTCTTGATGGTGTTGGCTGCAAATAATAAATCTGCTTGCCTTTTGAATTAAGAGTTTCTCTGTCTCCTAGAGAGAAATAAGAACTGATTTTTCTACAGGATATGAACTGCATGCATTTATGTAACCACTTTACTGGATAAAATTCACATTGTTTATAATTTGGAATACTACCAGATGTTTTGTTCTAAAAAGGCCTTATACATAGTAACAGAGGTTAAGCATGAAACTTTTTTTTATTTTTCAGCTTCATTGTTTTTAAAATTAGCCTTTTGCATGGACTGCTGCCTCATCAGACAAAAATGCAATCAGCATTTTATGTGTAAGCTCTCTGATGATCTGAAATCTTTGAAAATCTCGTTATTCTTGTTTTTAATGTTTAGATGAGGCCCTGAGCAACTTGATCTAGTGGGTAGCATCCCTTCCTATGGCAGGGGGGTTGGAACTAGATGATCTATGAGGTCCCTTCCAACCCAAGCCATTCTATGATTCTATGATTAATGGGAAGGTAAAATATTATAAATCTTCCATTTATGTTTGAAGAGATGGAAACAGGTATAACTGTACTGTGTACATCAGATTATTAGGGTTATATCTCAAGTGTCCATCAATATGTTAGACACAGTCAACATATGTAAGAAGATACAGGACACTGCTCTGAAAAAAATAGTGTTCTGAGGGTAGTGTGTTTAACATGTATGGTCCTTCAGATCTTCATATGTCCTGCCCTTCTCTCCTTTTGTTCAAAGGACATCTGGTCAGACATCTGCAAATGCACACTCATCTCGAAGCCATGCAGTGTTTCAGATTATTCTCCGAAGGAAAGGGAAATTGCATGGTAAATTTTCTCTGATTGATTTGGCTGGAAATGAAAGAGGAGCAGATACTTCCAGTGCAGACAGACAGACACGGCTGGAAGGTGCTGAAATTAACAAGAGCCTCTTAGCACTCAAGGTAACTGAAATGTTTCCACTGAGTTTGTGTAAGTGGAAACCTTCTACGTATAATAGCAATGACTATTAAAACGAGTGTTTCTGCAGGCTTTGCTTGTCTACATTGTCTACTGATGTGACAGGTAAAATAATGTATTGATTTTTCCTTTAAATGCCTGAAGGAACATCTGGTAATTACCAAGTAGAAACATTGTGTTATCAATTTTTATGTAGTTGAAAAATAAAAATAAATCCCAGTTCTTGAATGTGAAGACTTTTCTGATAAACACCTAAATGGGGATGAGAGTTAACTTACTTTGGTACTCAAGGTCTGAAATACTAACTGGAAATATTCTTTCTGATCTCAGTGTGTGTACATGTGTTTATTTATATATGTATATATATTTAAAAAAATATATAAAAAAACCTTTATGACATATTTATTTACTGCTGTTAATTAATTCACTGAAAACAACACAACAGCAATATATCCAGAAAAGTAACAAATAGATTAAATTAACCCTTGAAAATTGGGATCCATTTTTGATAGCTCTTCATAACAAATTGTCTGATACAGTTGCTTTATGGATTTTCATACATTAATCTAGAAAACATCAAGAGAGCTAAGAAATATCATGTAAATATTAAATGTGCTTTGTGTTTGTGTGTTTTATAATGCTCTGAAGAGGTTCGGTCTAAATAGTGAAAATGATTATTTGGTCTCAGTTGGGGAAACAGTAATTTTGAATGTCCTAGAACTTATCTCTATTGTTGGTTAGCTTTGCTTAGGTTTAGTACTCTCTGCACTAGTACTGCGCTTTTATATAAAGAATCTAAACCCAAAGTCTCTGTGCTTATTGTATTATCCCCAATATAAACTTGAGAGAAGACTTTTATCTGCCTGTAAGTAGATCCCACAAAACACCACAGAACACCACAAAATTGTAATGTGTCATTACAAAATTGTATGGCATGTAGAAAAATTGGAAGCAGCAGTTCCAAAACTGTGTCCTGTTTTCATTTCACATCTAAATAAATAATGCAAGCAACATTGTGTTGACTTTTATCACTTTTTTTTTCATGTGTATTTAATTTACTTGCTGATTTTGTGTTGGTTAGTATCTTCAGTGCAATACTCAAACAAACATTTTTTTCATACAACTCATCTTTTTAATTATAGTGAGAAGTTCTGCTGCTGCTGTACTGGTGGTTGTGATCTAAATTATATGGAGAAGGGGAAATAAAAATAAGTGGAGGTCTTGCAGAGGTCTAAACAGCAGTACGATAAGATATAACTGTTTAACAATGATGATAATTTTCCATTTTTCATCTATCTCCAAAATCATTACACAGCTTTTTCCATTTAATTTCAACTTGAAAATAACTTCAAAGCTTTTGAATATAAACTAGTATGTTCTGAAGAGTAGCCTTTGGTGCTAATCCAAGACTTGTTACTCACATGTGGATGTCAGTCCTGTCTTAACCCACTCAGGTTTTTGGTAAAAGAAGTTATTTTTATAATGTCTCTATATGGAATTAGTGTTGTCATTTTGTTACCTGGTTTACTGAGCTGTGATGAAAAGAAAAACTAGTTGAAAACTCTATTAATTTAGAAGCTGGCAGTGTCCTCCCATAATCGTTTTACTATTAAGGAGACAATACAATTCTAATTTTTTCCAGGAGTGAGCAAACTAAAAATCATTACAGTAAATTACAATATCATAATGAAACATGTTGGTTGCCATGCCTGCAATTCAACGTATACGTTTGTTACTGTTTTTAGTTTGTAATGTCACGCATTAAAAATCTGTTGTCCCTCTTCCTGTCTAATCTACTTTTTTCTTTATTGAAATAATAGTGTAGTGAGTAGTGTAGTGTATTGAGTTCTTTTTAGCATTTGTAAGTAATATTCGCATTCAACAAGTTTCAGTCTTTCTGTTTACCTGAGCTGTGTCCATTCTATAAAATTCAGCTGGTGAATTTTTAAATAATCACTTTAGTTAAAGCCAATTTGCCATTGTGTTTGTTCTGTTCTGTATCATGGCAGTTTTATTCTGAACCCTTTTTTAGTTCTGTTTTATGCTGTTTCACAGTTGCAATGTTTTCTTGGATTATCATTCCACGGTTTCTGGCCTGGCTTTTGTAAGAACCTGTTTCTAGGAAACTTCAAAAGCTTAAATTTAAACTTTCTTATGTAAGAAGCAATTTATTAGCAGATTTTTGGACTCTGAGTGGGCAGAAGTGATGTTAAGGTTATAATGATGGTGGATAGTACTCTTATACTGCTGCTACAGTCGCTTCTATAACTTCTATAGTAATTTCATAGTATTTCTGCACAGTATTTCTCACTGGAAGTCTCTAACTAGTTGTAAATATTAGTTTAGGCTCATACTCTTCTTATGAGTGAAAGAAGAGACATTAACCCTGTTTTTTTCACATGATAAATATTTTAAAACAGGAAATTGCTTATGTTTTCAAGTGTCTACTTGACAACATCAATGTAGAGCTATACTTGCTATGTTTGTGACCTGTGGAAGCTTTCAGAAAGTTTGGGCATTGCTGTTTTCATCTGAGCTGTAATGAAAGTTAGTGGTAGAGCCAGAATCAAAGCTATTGCTTTTAAATGATAGAGTTAACTAACACATTACCATTCACATTTCTTCTGTTGGTGGATGATATAGATCATTCAGGCTTCTGCAGCTGATAGTCAGAAATAGTTGATAGTCTGAAGATATAACATAAACACTGAATTTGTTGTTGGATACAATACATGTAAATATTTTGGATGAGACTGAAAAAGTTTTAGGTGCCTAAATTCCTTTACATTCCTACCTCTCTACTGAACTTAATGAGAGGTAAAAAGCTTAACACTTCTTGAATCCAAGCTTTAATGTTAAATTAAACATTAACATTGATGTTAGAGGACAGCAACATAAAGCATGTATTATCTGATTTTTGAATTTCATTTGTATTATGCATTTTTCTCTAACATGGGGTGAATAAATATCAACCTCTTTGTTCTTTCAGGAGTGCATTAGAGCCTTAGGCCGAAATAAACCTCATACACCATTCAGAGCAAGTAAGCTTACTCAGGTGTTAAGAGATTCGTTCATAGGAGAAAACTCCCGTACCTGTATGGTAAGTTTGTTTAGTTAACTGTATGTTTTAACAATTACAAAGAAAAAAGAATCTAGGAATACAGGATATTATGTTAAGAACTGGTCACTCACTGCTGGCAATCTGTTAAGCTTAAAATAAGAAAAGAAGGAGAGAAAAATTTAAAAAAAACACTATATTTGGAGGGAGTCTTTCAGAAGAAGTGTCTCAAATAATTTTCTCCCTCCTCTACTTTTTATTGGCCTTTCTTATTGTTCTTTTTTAGTTAGGCACCTAGATGGAAACACTTCTAGACTAGTGTTGTTGGGTTTTTATTGTTTGTTGGTTTTAATGTCTTAATTGTATGAGAGTATTGTTTGTTGAATCATAATTTTGCAAAAGATGGTGTAAACTGGAAGTATACTGACGAGTCTTTAAATGACAAAGGTAAATTTAGAGTTGGTATCAAAGGCATCAGAATATGCTTTAGGCTGTTGAGGGGACCATAGCTGAGATAGGTGGGATGAATAGTTTTGTATTTTTATAAGTGTGCATTTGCATTGGTCTGAAAAGCGGAATTCTTCTGTCAGGTAGAAAAGACAGATAAAAGCATTGATTTCCAGTGTTTTTAATTGTCCAGCCATAACATTCTACCCTTATGGAAATGCAAACTCTCTATGGTGAATGCTGTTAGGCTTGTTTGTATTACTTTTCACAGACTCCTTGGAATTAGTCTACAGGCCACAGAAATCTGCAGACTCACAGCATGAAAACCATGGTGTTAGGGCAGCCTAGCTGCTAGGTATGGTTCTAGTTTGAAAATTGTGGTAAAATAGCATTTTTTTTTAATTAATCTTTTATTCTTCTTCAGTTTTCTAATGAAAATACAGGATTGTTTTCTTTCCACTGAGACATGACTTCATAAATTCAGGATCAGAAAGCTAAACTGTGCATCTCTAGCTAATGTATCCACAATACTGAAGAAAATTTGGAAAGCAAACCTTGTGGGAACTACTCTCTGTACATAGAAGAATTAATATTTGTGAATGTTTCATGAAGTTCTGAAAAATCTGAAGCTTTTTTTATTTATTACTTTTCTCATAGAATTGTAATAATGTTTCCTGTTTTTAATAATGTTTCCTGTTTAAATGCATAAGAATGCCATCAAGAATAACCCATGATCTATGGGTGTTTAATTCCTGATAAAGTTCATGTTCCTTATTTTATATTCAATATAGTTCTGAATTAAGGAAAAGAATCGCCTCTGAAAGCGAGTGGAAATATGACTGAATTATTTTTCTTGTTTATACAACTACAGTCATATTGCAATTAAGAAAATGAACCTATAGTACATCTTTACTATTCTTTGAATTGAGCTCTCACATTTGCAGCACCCATTCCTGCAATAGCTAGATAGATGCAGAAGAAAGCTGCCTGTCTAGAGATCTGACAGGTTTCTGAACATTATATATTGAATTGAGGGAAGTGTAGGAGATACTTTAGCCTAGAATTACCTCTAGTTCTTTTCAGTTCCCTGGAAAGAGGAGAGATTTGCACTGCAGTGGCCAAGTGGTGGAAAGAGTAGATAATGGTCAGCAACTTCACCCATCTTCTGGGTCTTCCTTTGCCTCTTGTATCAAGACAATTTATTCAGCCTTTCACTCTGGTATTTACAGCTGGCTCTTTAGCAGGGTGTGCCTGATTTGTAAGCACATTCATATTTAGGTTTTATTTTGTACACTGGCTAAATTTTACTCTCAAAATATACAGGGAAAGAAATGGCAAGTCATTATGGTTTATAATAGCTAAAGTTGAACGGTCTTTTATTAAATTAAAAGAGTACTTATTCTGAGGGTTCAGTGACTGCTTTTTTGCAGCTGAGATATAATATTAGCTGTGGTGCTTAGAACTTCTAAAATGATTGCAAAATAGTTTAAAAATAAATTGTTTAATTTCAGGTTTCTACAGTTAACTGTAGGGATCACTGATATGTTCTCTAGAATAGGGTCTACTTTATATGAAGTAATATGAAAGCATAGAAGAACTTCATAGGTATAGTAGTGTTTCAACTATTACAAGGTAACACATAGATAATGGTATTATTTACTCCAAAATATTTTAGCCTGTTACAGGCAAAATAAACTAAAGAGATTGCAACAGAGAAATATTATGCTGATTTTGCTTATCAGTGAGGTATTTATCGTAAAGGAATTCCTTAACAAGACAAAGATTTGATCCAATATTCTAATGTGCAAATAGATTAAGACATTTGCAAATATGCTGGTATTTTTCAATGTGGAAAGCATATAAAAGGATGGAGTAAAAACTTGTGATTTTAACTTATTAAGAGATTCTTGAAATGTCCTGGTATAAAATATTTTGCCTTTTTCATTTGCTTTCTGACATACTTTCTGACATACTAAGTGGGATGTTCGAATAAAATTTCTTTGGTAATTTCTACACTTAATTCTTATTCAGCTTTGACTTTCATAGTTTAGACTTCCTGTTCCAATTTTACAAGTTACATGTTCAGGGATGGAGCATTCTCCTCTGTATATAAGGTTAAAATATGATTCAGAAACCTATTTTTTGAAGATAACTTCCACATGGACAGTTATGACTGGGATCTGCTTCATTCTAAACAAATACAGAGATGTACAGTCAACATAAATTGTTTGATTTGAACATTATTAGTTCTTGCAGTTGCACTGAAGTTCTTCTCCTCTAATAGTTTCAAAGATCATTTGAAGTTGGTTTTGAAGAGTTACATATTAGCATAATGTATCATCGTCTCAACTTTGCAGGGTAGCTACATGCAATAGTCCTTTTTAACCAGTTCTGTATCCTTAAGATGCTACATCCTTGACATGCTGCAATCATTACTGAAGTTCTAGACTGCCCAGTCCTCCAGGTTGGGAGTAGGAACTTGGAGACTTGAGTGTCCTAAATGGGATGTTGGCTTATAAGCAATACTGGTAGGGAGAACGGTGATGGCTGGTCTTAAAGATATTCCTTTCCGTAGTGCAACCTTTTCCATTCTACTCAATTGGAATTACGAATGAGGAAGCGAGCTATGCAGAGGTCAGTCATAGAATCATAGAATGGTATAGGCTTCAAAAATCATAGAATTTTGTTGTGGTTTAACCCAGCAGGCAGCTAAGCACCACACAACCAATCACTCACCCCCCCTGCACCCCAGTGGGATGGTGGAGAGAATCAGTGGGAAAAAAAGTAAAAGATTGTGGGTTGAGATAAAGACAGTTTAATAGGACAGAAAAGGAAGAGAAATAATAAAAATGATGATGATGATAATAATAATAATAATATGCACAAAGCAAGTAATGTGCAATGCAATTGCTCACCACCCACTGACCGATGCCCAGCTCAGCCCCAAGCAGCAGTCCCTACCCCCTGCGGCCATCTACCCCATATTAATTGTTCAGCATGACATCACATGGTATGGAACATCCCTTTGGCCAGTTTGGGTCAGCTGTCCTGGTTCTGTCCCCTGCCAACACCTGGGGTGCCCCCAGTCTGCACTGGCAGGGCAGTATGAGAAACTGGAAAGTCTTCGACTTAGTATAAGCACTGCTCTGCAACAATTAAAACATCAGTGTGTTATCAACAATTCTCACCCTAAATCCAAAAAACAGCACCACACCAACTACTATGAGCAAAATTAACTCTATCCTAGCTGAAATGAGGACAATATCTACCCCTTATTTCATACCATTTATATCATGCTTCGGTCCAACACTTTACAATACATTCCAATTAATCACCACTTTTTGTACATATTTATATAGGTGTGTATATATATATAAAAAGTGTCCACTAAGTTTGTTTAGTCTGTGACTGACTTTGGGCTCCCATTTGACACAACAGTCTTTCAGGACAGAAGAGATGGTGTGTAATTTTGGATCAGCTGGACGTCCTTTGCAGGTTCTTTGACCTTAATTTGTTTTATGGCAAAACCAGCCTTCAGAAGGATTTGGAATATTTTCTTCCTTTCTCAAAAGCTTCTTCTCCTGTGTCACCCCACACGATCATGTCATCAATGTACTGCAGGTGTTCAGGAGCTCCTTGGCTCTCTGGTTGATGAATTAGCTTATGGATGGGAATCAGGGAGTCTTGGTGCAATATTGCCACTGGTGAACAGTTGTGGTAGCGATTGGCACCTGCTGTTCTTCGACCCTCAGCAACCCCACAACAGAAGGGTCCTCTGAGAGACCAGGCAAGGTAAACAGCTGCTTAATCTCCTTCCCTATTCAAGACAGCTATGCCAAAAGCCCACCCTTTGGGGTCCTTGAAGTACCCTCTCCTGAGGTAGTCTATGCCAAGGATGCATGGAGCCTCTGGGCCAGTCACAATGGGATGCTTTTGCCACTCATTCCCAGTTAGACTTACTTCAGCTTCCAGTACAGTTAGCTGTTGGGATCCCCCTGTCACTCCAGAGATAGAGATGAGTTTTGCCCCTTGGTGACCTGATGGCATTAGGGTACACTGTGCGCCTGTGTCCACTAAAGCTTTATATTTCTGCGTTTCTGGTGTGCCAGGCCATCGAATCCACACAGTCCAGTAAACCCGATTGTCCCGCTCCTCCCCCTGGCTGGAGGCAGGGCCCCTCTAGTCCTGGTCAAAGTATTCATTACTCTGGAGGACTGCCAGCAATTTTCCCAGAAGACCTCCCCCTTTTGTGATTGTGTTTCCTTGCAACTCATGTACCTGTGCCTCTAGGGTCGAGGTAGATTTTCCATTAGGAGGAAAATTAACTCTATCCTAGCTAAAACCAGGGCAAGTTTCAACCCCTCTGGTTCTAATTTAAATATACCCTCTTTCAATTTAAAGCCATTCCCCCTTGTCCTATCACTACGTGCCCTTGTAAAAAGTTCCTTCTCCAGTTTTCTTGTAGATTGCCTTTAAGTACTGGAAGGCTGCTGTAAGGTCTCCCTGGATCCTTGTCTTTTCCAGACTGAAAACCTCCAATTTTCTCAGCCTGTCTTTGTAGGAAAGGTGCTCCAGTCCTCTGATCTTCTTTGTGA